TTAACCGTATGACTGGAGAATGAGTCCTCATTTCCCAAATTGACGATTCAGATCCCCACTCGCTAGATTGAAGGAGAAGGCCTTGAAAGCTTGGCAGAGTCACAGAAAAATGGCGAGAAAGAAGGCAAAAAGGCTGTTGGGAAGATGTTGACGACGACCGCGAAGAATAAGGCTTCGGAAGCGGCGGTGAAAGAGGAGACAGTGTCTTCGGTGGAGACAGAGAATGATGGGTCAGGAAGTAAGGATGTGGCTGCTCGTAGTCCATTTTTCCCTCTAATTCATCGAAACTATTGCGTGTGCAGCTGTTCTTGTTTCTGGCGAAGCTCGATTCATCGGTGTCAATTGGCCCGTTCGTTGCATTCCCTCTCAAACAGAGCCCTAAGAAGAAATCAAGAACAAGGTCACGAATATATCGTGTATTTCAAAAATTTGTAATGGAAATTGCTAGATCTGTAAAAAAAGAAACCATCAAAATTCTGTCTATTTCTTGTATTTCAAAAGTTGTGACTATAACTGTCACAAACGTGAAAGTTGTGGCTATAACTATCACAAATGAGAAAGTTGTGGCTATTTGATAGACGATTTGATTACTTGGGTTTTATGTCCGGATTGAATTATTTTGTTCGGGCTTATTTTGGTTATTGGGGAATAATTTGGGGATTTATAAGTTGGGGTAGTTAGTAGGTAATTGTGTTTGGTTATTTAAACTATTGTTTTACGTAGGAAAGGCAAGCAAAGATTAAAAACCTAAAACCTATTGCTCTCTCTCTACCCTCTCCCTTGGCCGTCGAGCCTTCTTTTCCCCCTTCCCCTGCAGCCGATCGGCAGCCTTCCTTCCTCTTCCTTCTTATTCCATCAACTTCCCTAAATCAATCCCTCCTCTCATTCCCAAATCCCCGGATCAATCCCTAATTGATCCCAATTCCCTAATCCCTCTATAGAGCTCTAATCCTCGGCTTCTGCCTACACCGACGGCCCAGGAGTTGGCGGCTCGCAAGGGCAAGGCCAAAATGCCCGGGTATGACGGTGGGGCCCAGCAGACTGTGCGTGGGCCACCTGGGCCGATGGGCCGATTTGATGCAGTGGGCCCATATAACGAGCCCAGAGGGCTGGGGTGGCTTAACATGGACCCAGAGCGGTTCGAGGAGGAGCTCAGCCTGGTGGGCCAGAATGCGCCGTGGGCCGACCCAGCTAGCACCGAAAATTACTTGGGGTCGAGCCGCGCGAGCTGGGCCGGGATAGGAGGAGTGGTCTGGGCCAGTATGGGCCGAACCGGGTCGAGGGGAGGGTCGGCTGGTCGGGTCAATTATGGGCTAACCGAACCGAGTCGGATCGGGTCGGGATGAACCAGAGCGAATCAGGTCAGGTCGCATGATGTCGGGTGACCCTGAACCGGGCCGAACCGGAGGCGGGCCAAACCGGTTTGAGCCGCGACTGGTGAGATCGGCCAGTATGGATCCGAAGATGTGCCAAGGGCTGTACGGGGCAGGGTATGCGACGGGTCCGCCCGGTCGAGGTGCCGCAGGGAGCTTTGGGCGAGGAAGAGGATCACCGTTCTACCAGAACCAGCCAAGGGGTGACTCGGGTTATGACAGGTATGGTTCATATCACCCTGCCTATGATGGAACTGATGGGATGGTCTTTCGAGCCAAGCCTCCGACCATTGAGTTCCCGAAATTCAACGGTCAGGAGGATGCATGGCTGTGGTTGTATGCTGCGGAGAGGTGGTTAGGAATCACCCCATACCGGAGGAGAGGAAGGCGCATCTGGCGTCCTTCTACTTAGAGGGTGAAGCACTATAGTGGTGGGAGTAGATGGAGAGATCCTACGGGGCGGCGGGAACCTTGATTACATGGCCGATGTTTCAGGAGGAGCTCCGTTACCAGTTCGGTAAATCGGAGGGGTGGGCTCCGGAGTAGTTGGCTAAGCTGAAGCAGACCGGCTTAGTTGCGGATTATCGTGCGGAGTTCTTCAAACTGGGCAATCAATGCCGTGGGGTCCCAGAGGATACATTGGTGGGGTTGTGTATGGCAGGCCTAAAGCCGGAGATTGCTGCTGCCGTCCGGGTCTTTGAGCCGGACTCCTTGAAATCTGCTTTTCGTCTTGCAGGGTATAAGGAAGAGGAGCTTGCGAGTTGGAGGAGCACCATAGGGCGCTATCCGCGAACCAGTGGCGCGGGGAGCAGTGGCAGAGCTGGCAGTGGAGGAGGAGGAGGCATGGCTGGAGCCACTGCTGGAGCTGGGGGATCAGCGGCGCCAGCGCCAGTGGCTGCGGCGAAGGGTGGGATGCCGCCTCCACCGAAGGGGTTTGTGAGGTTATCCCCTGCGGAGATCGAGCAGAAGAGGCGGGAAGGGAAATGCTTTAATTGCGACGAGAGGTTCACGATCGGTCACAAGTGTGCACGTCCCGACTTGATAGTGCTGGTCGGAAGGTGGGAGGACGAGGCAGAGGATGAGGCGAGAGAAGGAGAAGAAGCAGTGGAAGGCTACCAACCTTGAGGACAAGGTTGTTTTGAAGAGAGCGGGAATGATAGACGATTTGATTATTTGGGTTTTATGTCCGGATTGAATTATTTTGTTCGGGCTTATTTTGGTTATTGGGGAATAATTTGGGGGATTTATAAGTTGGGGTAGTTAGTAGGTAATTGTGTTTGGGTATTTAAACTATTGTTTTACGTAGGAAAGGCAAGCAAAGATTAAAAACCTAAAACCTATTGCTCTCTCTCTACCCTCTCCCTTGGCCGTCGAGCCTTCTTTCCCCCCTTCCCCTGTTGCCGATCGGCAGCCTTCCTTCCCCTTCCTTCTTCTTCTATCAACTTCCCTAAATCAATCCCTCCTCCCATTCCCAAATCCCCGGATCAATCCCTAATTGATCCCAATTCCCTAATCCCTCGATAGAGCTCTAATCCCGAGCTCTATCACTATTCAAGTATATTTTACCATATTGGCATTAATTCATTTGTTGTGTTCAGATTGTTGATAGGCCTAGTCAAGGTCATAAGTACCTCTCTCGGGAATATGTTCAACCTCAGTGGATTTATGATTGCATAAATGTCGGGTTCATATTACAGGCATATATCTATATGGTGGGAAGGTATTATACTATATTCATGGAAATTGCTCATGAGCTCCTTTGATTGTGGCACAACTTGATACATTGATTCGTATTTGAAGCATGTAATGTAAAGTAGATTCCCATCGGCTACTGCCGGTATCTGAAACTTGCTAAGGTTTCTAGTGGCTGTTAGTATAGCATGTGCATTTTGATTCTAACATGCAAAGATGACAATTGTTTATTATTAACCATTGTTCTGCAATAGGATCCCTCCTCCGCATTTGTCTCCTTTAGTTGATAACGAAGCAGAGGGTTATGTCTACTAGTAAACCAAATTTATGTTGAAAATTTGTTCCGGTAATTTTCCTTGTGGAAAAGAAATTATTTGTGGTTGATAAACCCTTCATATGCTTCTGAATCATGTAATTGTTGTCATTATGGTTTGTAATTCAATAAGCACTTTACTTACCGATTTTCAGATTCTACACAAGCAAATATCTTAGAGAATGTGGAATCGGGATCCCAGACAGAGCATGAAATGATGCTACCATGGATTAAAGTTTGTGGTCGAGACCAAACAAAGCAGATCACTTAAATCCACTAATGAAAAAGATTGATAACCAAGATAGGAGACACATAATGGTAATTTTGACATGACCCCTTTAACTTGATTTGTTTGACTTGTTTTGGAGCGAGTCTAGGCGGAGCTGGACGAGTATGACTGTATGAGTACTCTCATCGACCTGTCCTGGCCTGTCACATTTTCGACTCGTTATCGTCTAAATTACATGTAAGATTATTCAAATTACTTAGGATTTTACTTTTATTACCTCATATTTTCGCTATCATAAAATTATTAATAAGTAAAAATCTTAATTTCTCGAATAATTTAACTATATTTATCATATTATTGTTTGTTTCTTTGCCTTATAATGAAACTAACAAATATTTATGATGATTTTCATTTAAAATACATACCTATTGGCTCGACCTTCCCCGATCCGCACCATATGATAAATTACCCGACCTGCCACGGGACGGGTATGAGAATCGAGGTACCAGCCTCATTGCCATTCCTAGAGACATCTAAGAATATGTTCATCTCCATATGATTTCAACATACAAGACATTAGACAAAAGTCAAGACACTTCATAGCTCGTAAGTACGTAATCACCACAAATACCATACTTATACAGTATTTTGGGGTTTTTATTTTTTGTTATACATGGATTGAAAAACATAATACAAAGAATTTATCTTGTGAGTACAGAAATGAGAAAACAATGATAATAGATAGACATATTTGGTGAATGTATCAACTCTATATGGATATCAACTCTTTCTATTCACAAAAGGAATTAAAAATGACCTGTTTATCATTAACAATCTATGGAGGACTCCTGCAGCAATAAATGAAACTATGCGTACTGTTTTAACAATTCAAACATTCGAAAAAAAAAAAAAAAAAGGAAACAGGAAATCGAAGAACGAGAAGAAAATAATAATAGCAAAAAAATGCTTTGCATTGCAGATTCGAACAGCCAGAGAAACAAAGAGCGAGAGATAGAGAGAGGCCGAAGACGAAATCAGCGGCCGAAGTAGGAAAGAAGAAAAAAGTCCACCGGCGGCGAATTTCCTCTCTCGCTACGATCTCCGGCGGAATTTTCTCAGCCCCCTTTCCCCCTCTTTCCTTTCTTTCCCTTCGAATAATCAATTCCCCAAACCTAATCCCTTTTTCTGTCCGTCGACTTTAATCATGTTAGATAATTGGCCTACCTCTCTGTAAATTTTGTCTTTCTGGATCCTTCAATCTGTGTTACTACTTCTTCGTCAACCGCCATTTTTTTAGATCTATAAGCTTAGAGCTGATCCAATCGTCGCCCCTGAATCGGGCTGCTGGTAGATCCGAACAACTTGCTCGAATTCTGTTCAAGCGCGGGGATCCATGGACGATTTTCCCGGCCTCTTAGCGCGGGACTTTGGATTCAAGCCGCAGGGGAAGTCCGCTCCCATGGCGCCACCCGCGCGCAATTCCAGCAACAGCAACGCCTTCCCTTCGTCATTCGGATCGGAGCCGACCCGGTCCGCCTCCTCCCTGTCTGGCAAATCGGCTCCGATCTTCGACGATCACGATCGCGTCGGCGGGGGAGCGGACGGCCTAATGTTCAACGACGTATTCGGCGGGCCGCCGAAGTATGGGGAATCGCGTGGCGGCAGGAGCGGGAATGCCGGGTCATCTTCGTCTGCCGCTACTTCTTTCGACTACGACGCAATCTTCAAGGACCAGAATGCCAAGTCGTCGTCGCTTCCGGTTTTCGATAAGCCGGTGTACGACGAGGACATTTTCGATGGGTTGCCTGGGCTGAAGAGTGCGTCGGTGACTTCTTCCACGGCTAAGTTCCACGACGATGTGTTTGCTGCTGTTGGTGGTGGTTCTTCTCCCAAACACAAGTCGATGAACAGCTCCGCGTTTGATGATCTGTTGGGGAATCTGGGTAAGAAAGGGGCGGAGACCAAGAGAGAGGCTCCTTCCAAAGTGGAGAAAGATTCTCCTGCATTTGATGATTTGCTTCCTGGCTTTGGTCGCAGTAGCTCTCCCAGCATAAGCAGGTACCTTCATCATTTGCTAAGTTGATAGAATATTGAAGCTAGCACATTGATTGGGATATGGTGAAATTTGAGTTGGTATGCTCATTGTATTTGTTCGGATTTCCTGATACACTTGATTAGTTGTTGTGGATGTATTGTGTCCATGAGAAGAATTCATATGCTGTAGAAACGACTTGTCTTGGTGTACTTCTGCTAGCATAGTCTTAGTTTTGTCTACCGTCTTTTCTAGCTGCTTAGCTATATTCCTCGAGTCATTTCTGAATATGCCATCGCAAAGTGCCATTATCACTACGGCACTTTGGGTTTTATGTTCAGCAGCGCCCATTGCCCATTTGTTAGATGCAGAATTGGGTTTAGGCAGTGACAATTATAAAAAAGAACAGACTTTTTTCATGTTTTCATGGTTGTAGAATAAAGCATTAGAGACTGGATGTTGGATGGTACTCGCTTTCTTTACTTAGTTTGTGTTTAGGGAACTCACTTTTCTCAACTATTAGACACTTTTACATTGGGCTCCGAACGTATTTGGATATATTTCTGTCATCGTCTTGTTCTTTTAAGATTCAAGATGTAAACACTTATTTTATGTAGCTTTTTTTTATAGTTTAACATGGTCTACCAGAAGATTGTGTGGTCATCATGCCTACCCCACATGACCTTATTCGAGTCCTAATTATATCTCTACATGGACCATGGGCCAAGAGACGAATTAGGAGGCTTAAAAAGAGTTTGGGAGCATTTAAAATGGGTGACAATGGCTCTACAAGCAAGGCCTACGGGTTAATTGAGAACGGGGATGCTTAATTGCTGTCCATGTTGGTTTAGGAGTCTTTTATTATATTTTCTTTATTTATTATCTCCAGTATGAGTGTTATTTGTTTCCTCTCTATAAATAGAAGGCTTGTAGCTCAGTTTTATTAAGAATTCAGTATTCAGATTTCAATAAGTTTTTTCAAGAGTTGCAAGAAAGATTTCCTTGTGATGTCTTAGGCTTATCAACCCCTTGGCTGTGGCGCATTGCCCCGAACCTTATCACCGGCTGGTGTGGCGGTTCTTCCTCCATTAACCTACCAAAACCCCTAAATTTTCCAATTCCTTTAAGTTTCTAGCAACCCTAGCTATTTTATTCTCAATTAGAGCATCCTAGGCACATCACATGTGGCTGATGAACCTTAGGATAATAAGCTATTGTGATTATCTTCATATCACCCTCTGTTCCACGTTTGATGATCTTTAAGGAGAATTTGTGTCACAGGTCAACTTCTGAGTCCAGTCAGGCCACCAGACCATCTACCAATTCAGCCAAGACTGCTCCTGCTACAATTGACGATCCATTTGTAGTGTTAGAGTCAACATCAACTCCTGCAGCAGCATCCTCTGAAGGGTTTGTCGATCCATTGGAAGAAATCGGTAGATTCAGTAGCTCAGGAAGCACAAGAGATAATAGCTCACGCGTACATAAAGGATCATTTGATGACTTAGATCCTCTTGAAAATCTTGGAAAATCTGTTCCATCAGCTTCAAGTGAGGTTAACGAGCGGCGGAAGAACAGGAGTCCGTTAAGATCGGAAGCCAGCATGGGTCGTAGTTTTTCTCCTGATAGTCAGGATCCAGTCGACAAATATCCTGTGGAGAATTCTGGGAGATACTCACAGAACAAGGCTCCCATTGATGATTTTCTGGAAAATCCTTTTGGTCCGACAGAGTCTAGTAAAGCAGCCAGTGGTCCTCCACCTTCATATGTCAGCTTCTCAGCTAATGATACCTTTCCATCTCCAGTAGCTGACGAGGTCACAGAATCAACTGATGAGATATGGCTAACCGTTTCAGAAATTCCACTGTTTACTAATCCTACTAGTGCTCCTCCGCCTTCTAGGCCTCCACCTCCAAGACCACCAAGGTCGAACGCGAGAAAGAAGTTTAATGAATACTCTTTCTCTAGATCACAAAGTCCTAAGACAGAGCAAGGATCGAGAAGCTCCACAACTCCAATTGACGAACTTGAAGATTTTGCCACTGGCAGGGCCCAAAACAATAATGTAAATGATCATGGAAACACTTTTGCTGGTGATGATGTGGACACAAATTCTTCTTCGGCTGCTGCATCTGCAGCTGCTATGAAGGATGCTATGGATAAAGCAGAAGCTAAATTCAGACAAATGAGAGAGAGGGAGTATCTGAAGGCTGCTAGAAGTAAGGATTCCAGTCAGCAGGACAAAGATATGCTAGAAGCACAGCAAAGAGAACTCAGAGAAAGGCAAGAGAGACTAGACCGTGAAAGGCAGCAGAGGGAGAAGGATGAGGAGGATAGAGAACAGAGGAGACTTCGTGAAATGGAGAGGGAAGAGAAGGAGAGAGAGCAGAAGAGGCAAGAAAGAGAAAGGGAACGACTCGAAAGGGAAAGAGCCAGACAAGCAGTAGAAAGGGCCACTAGAGAGGCACGCGAAAGAGCAGCCATTGATGCTCGGGTTAGAGCTGAAAGGGCTGCTGTAGACAAAGCCTCTTCCGAAGCTCGAGAAAGAGCAGAAAGAGCTGCTGTTCAGAGGGCACAATCCGAAGCTCGCGGAAGGGCAGCAGCAGATGCTAAGGAAAGAGCAGAAAGAGCAGCAGCAGAAGCACGAGAGAGGGCACAAGCTGAAAAGGAAAGGGAGGCCCGAGCTAGATCTGAACGTGCTGCAGTAGAAAGAGCAGCTCAAGAAGCTCGAGAAAGAGCAGCTGCTGCTGCAGCAAGGGCAAACCAACAAAAATATGATGCCCAACCCAAAAATGAAAACGATCTTGAATCATTCTTCAGTTCTCGACCGAGCAGCGCACCACGACCTCAGGCAACCACTTCTGTAAGTGATACCTTTTATGCTAATAATTTTAGCAGGAAGGCTTTCTTTAACTCCTAGGAATTTGATAAGACTGTTCTTCCTGATTTTTGTATTAGGACTATTTACTTTGTTTGTTGCAGTCAAAGGAACCCCTTTCAATTAATTTGTTTGCTAAAAAAGGTCTTAAAAGAGTTCTTATGGACGAGATACATGTCATATATGATTGGTTCATAATCGTGGTGACGTATATACCTTCTGTGAAATCATTAAGTGAGGGTGTAAGAATATTTGCAAAATTAACTCATTTTTCTGATAGACGAGTGATAGATTGAATGTTTTGGCTTTTTGTTATTAACATATTTTGGTTAATGTGTTGCGCCTAAATCACAGGATCCGTTCTTTAATACCGCTAGCAAGGGACCTCCTGAACCACCTAAGAGGACTTCTGTTGGTTCTTCATCTAACATGAGAAAAGCATCTTCAACTGCAAACATCGTTGACGATCTGTCTTCTATTTTTGGAGGTAGTTATGTAACAGACTTTGAATGTCCATCCATGATCTGTCTTCTTTTCTTTCTTTCTTAAATTGGCTGAGCTCGTTTGGCCAACTTTTACTTTCGAGAAGCTTCTGGAGGTGGACAATCTGGAGATTTCCAAGAGGTTGACGGGGAAACAGAAGAAAGACGAAGAGCCAGGCTGGAACGCCACCAAAGAACTCAGGAGCGCGCAGTATGTTTTTTCAATTTATTTATTTTCATTTAAGTGGTTAATTTTGGTTTCTAATGTAAGTTACATTGTTGCTAGGCATATGTGGTTTTGTTTTTTGTTTTTCTTCTGTAACTGTAATTGGCAATTCTTTCTATTTCTCCAGAAGCAAGCATTGGCTGAGAAGAATCAGCGTGACCTTCAAGCACAGAGGGAACAAGAAGAGAGACATGTAAGCTGTGCTAATTTCCTTGTAAATGTGCTGTACTAATCTATTTGGCCCCTTGGATAATTTTCTGGTTGTTTGTAGAAGCTTATTTGAGTTAGCTTTAAAGCACGAGTTTTTGTATTTGGCTGTTTTACAGCACTGCAGTGAATTGCTGAATTTACCTGGGGTCGTTTTATGGGTCATCATAGGAAGTTATTAGAATGAATTCAATGAAAGGTGAAGGTTGTCGGCTTGTCACACTAGTCAGGATATCTATAATGTTAATCTACATTACAGCTGATCCTGTTGAAGCCCTGGCATTTAATTGGTTTGATTAGTATTCATATTTTAGTCCTCTATCCTCTGGTACCTAAAAGTGATACATTGTGTTGTGCGGATAGAAGTTGCTGTCTCACAGCTTTATTGTTCCATTCGTGTGGTAGTTCTCTATGATGACTGAGATTCTTCGTGTCATGCTTGCGTTACTTTATGTTGTCCAAGACTGATAAATATGATGTGTGGGGGTACTGGTTTTGCACTACGGTCGTCTGATGCTGTTTGCTCTTTTTTCTTCATTCTTTCTTATCCAGAAAATTGGTGAAACTCTGGACTTTGAGATCAAACGATGGGCTGCTGGGAAAGAAGGGAATCTACGTGCTCTACTATCAACAATGCAATATGTATGTTTTCTAGATTTTAATCCAAGCCTTCGTCTTTCATCCGTAGTAACTCATCCAATTCATGTTCCTTTTGTACTCAATATTTTCTGCCTAATAAGAAACTTGTTCTTGTAACTACCAGGTATTGTGGCCTGAATGTGGTTGGCAGCCGGTTTCCTTGACCGACCTGATTACTGCTGCGTCCGTCAAAAAAGTATACAGGAAAGCAACTTTATGCATTCACCCTGATAAAGTGCAACAGAAAGGTGCTAATCTTCAACAAAAGTACATTGCTGAGAAGGTCTTCGACTTGCTAAAGGTATACATATGGCTACACTTTAGAGCAGAATGTGAATAGTTATAGTGTTGGTTCCTTTCCACTTAACCAAGCGACTTATCTATTCTATATAATTCGTATTGTGAAAAAAGGAAGCATGGAACAAGTTCAATTCGGAGGAGCTATTTTAAAACCTCATTGCTACGCGAAAGCAACACAACTTCATATCAGGGAATTCCACCAGTCAGTGTGTGGAGTGACGCTGCAAAGCCCCTGGCCAGCTCGGTTTACTGTGGAGTATCGACCACCGCAAGTAAGGGCCTCATGGAAGTCAAGGACAGGTTTCACTTGCAATATAAATGATACTGCCCCTTTCTCGAGGCGTGATTATATACTAATCTCCTGTCATGCAAGCTTGGTTCATCGATATGTAAGCTGGGAATCCCTGTACTCTATTTAGAGACAAATCTGCGGCAGCGGTCGCCCGAAGCCAATGTGCACTATATGAAAGGCAGATTTTGTGTTTATTCTTTCTCTTCATAGTCAATATTATTTTTTGAGGGGGGTGCTGTTTTCTAATTTACTTAATATTTTGGTGGGTTGAATATGTTGAGTCGACAGGGGGATCTTATTGTATTGGTATACGTCGACGATCTTGATGGCTATGTTTGATTAATTGATTTGATATGTCGAGCTGATAAAACTTGAGCTGTTTTTATTGATTTGAAATGTCGAGCTGATAACACTTGAGCTGTTTTTATTTGCAACTCATTTTTTCATATCTTGGTTGCTCTTATTCGAATCTTGCAACAGTTTCTCATTAATACGAAGTGTTAATTCGGTTTCTTCATGTCTACTGTTTCAGCTCTGTCATATCTTAGTTCTCTCAATCCGAGCTCTTACCTCAATTTGATCGTTGAACATTGCATTAGTGTCTCCTGTGTCCTGATGCGAGTTTTCGGCAACATTCTCCTTGTGAGTTTATTGACTACTAGATGGATCGCAAGTTATCTGCAGATTTTTCTTTAACGATCCAACACTATGCAGGCAAAACTCAATGCAGCTGAAAATATCTCAGCCAAGCAAGCAATTAGCCTTCAGCAACAAAAAAAACTTCTATATGACAATGTCGAATACATTGCAGTCCTGACAAGTTAGGTACAATGCAGTTAATCCGAATCTTGTTTGGATTTGGAACTTAGGTTTCTGTCTACACCCTCGATCAAAATGTTCTGTGTGGGCATTGGCTAGTCGAGACTCCAATATGTCCAGATTAACCTGTAAATTTGAAGACCCAAAAGCTAATCAGCATTCAGTAAGGAAAGGAACCCATATAAAATATATACCAGACATACTGGCCATGGTTTTTGTCCAATCAGAGAGATTTCGTGTTAATTTTTGGTTTAGATATGAACATGGAAGTACCAAACTGAACATATTTCAGCAGGAAAAGAGACCTCGTCACATTTATTGAGTTGAAGTTCACAGAGAGTGCAGTGTATGGCTTTTGGCTTCTCCAGTAACTCTCCTTGTTTGCAGACAGGGCACCAGATCTTCTTCCTCTGAATATCCAATCAAGTGTTAGATAACACGCAGCAAAACTGAAGTCTGAAAGAATTAACTCCTAAGTCTGGCTGTACGGGAGGTGATAAGAATTACTGCAAACTGTAAACTGTATAACAGAAAACTTCAGAAGCTACGATACCGAGCAAGCATTTACCTACCACTTCATCACTCAATTGCATGTGCTCGTAAACAGCACGAGCCAAGTACTCATCTTCTTCCTCTTCCCATGCTTCGATGCAGGATTTTAATTCTGCAAGGATGCCAGACTACCCATTTAAGCTCCCGGACAGAAAAATAGGATTTCATATCAGTGAGTTGCCTTCTGATAGACACCATTACAAGCAGTAAAACCAAATGAAAGTCTCCATTATTCGATCCATAAATTGTATATCTTTAGGGAGCTTAAACGAGTATTCTAGAAGTAGACAGGTTAATAAGCAACAAGACATCCACGGTGTATACAAAATTACTCTTTAAGCCTAATCCATTATACTTCTATGTTTCGTGTTCAATGTTCCTATGCCTTCATTACACAGATATCATTCACCATTGAGTCATATGCTAGCAAGATACAGATAAGTTTCTAACCTTTCGGGTTCGATTCTGCCCTGATATCTTCATAAAAGATCCTTTGCATTTCAAGCAATATCTCTTCCCGATCCCCTTGGTATGCGTCGTGAAGACCTTCGTACTCCCACAGCATATCGCCCTCGCCATCACCATCGAGATCCAGTTCAGCACTCGTTAGCGTCTTCTCATCACCATCAACCACTAACGACGGTTTCCTGAGTCTGTTCAGCTCATCAGAAACTATTCCCTGGAATGCCGATTTGATCAACTCTTGATCCTGAAAGCCAATCACAACACAGACTACAATAAATAAGCTAAGAGTAAATTCAAGATCACAAATGAGATACCTTCATTTCTTGAGCAAAAAAAATGGAAGAATTTACGGACGGCTTAACCTGTTTGTCCAGTGATTTCCCCCTACTCTCCCATAGCAACCGCGTTCTATCTTCGCGGACTCGCTTGAAGCAGCTCTCCCTCCACTGAAATCAGATTATCGGAAAATTGAAGCTACGATTTCGGGAAACCCGTATCACCGTCGATTCGGGAAACCAAATCTTGATAACGAGCGAACGGTTACAAAAACGGAAGCTGACCTTTTCTTTCCATATTGGATAGGTGTTGAAATCGGTCTGCTTCTTAATCGATTTCCTGACGGAGATCGCCTCGGGCGTCGATTTAGGGTTCTTCACCTCCTCCATTTTAACTTTTCTTCGCCTCCGCAAAAAACTGTTGACCTGAAGGCTGAAACACGAAGAATAGCGACTCGCTGACTTGTCGTTTCGCGGGCTTTAGCTTGGCGGGAAATGCTTTGGTTTTGGGCTTAGTTGATAGATGCGGGCCACTTTCTTCAGAAATCGTAAAGCAAGGCCCAAGCCCATACCAACATCAGATATTTGATTGTTGAAGGAGTTAACTGATCTTTTCCATTTGGTTTCCCCTTGCATTTTGCCCTACGATAAATTAAAACAAACAAATAAGCGAAAAATTAAAATAAATGAAGTAATGAACACAATAAAGAAAAGATGATAAAACCCAAAACCCTACAGCTCTGTAAAATCTCACACCCTCCTCCTTCTTCTTCACCATAAACCCTTTCGACTAAGTCACATCTTCTACACCTTCTCTGCTTCCTCAGTCGTCATCACTCTCAGCTTCCGGCAATCGGAAAGAATTCACCAGTAAGTTCCCCAGCGGGCAATTCCCCCCTCCCCCTCCAGTTTCCCCGCATGACCTGAGCTTGCGGCTCGTTCAGCATTTCATTGCTCCTGTTTGTTTGATTTCCTTAGCCTCTAACTTGAATTGATGAATACGGATACCGTCTTAATGGCCACATATGCGGCCGTGTCGCCATTTCATTTCTTCTTTCTCCTGGAGCTTCGGAACAACACTTCGCTGTGTGTGGGGGAAGCTCAGTGCTGTGTTTTTTTGCTTGAATTGGCGAATTCGGTTTCTCACTTGCTTCGCTCCATAGCTCTCTGCTTTGGTTTCGTATGTTTTGTTTATGAACTCTTCTAATTAAGGAATCGGCGTTTCTGTTTGCTCAGGGCATGTGGAACTCGAGGTCGGTTTAATTGGGAAGTGCGGTTCATAGAAGACAGGAGTTGGAGAAATGGAATTGAAGAGGAAATCGCCAGAGCAGCTTGAAGCTCTCCGGAAGTTATTTGCCGGTACCGTGTTTTCATACTTCTCTATCTCCATTCTCTGCTTAATTTGAGAACGAATTCTAGTTCGGCTTGAGTTTGGTTGATCCTTTAGTCCCCAGATGTTATGGAAGTGCTTCTGTTGCCTTATTACTGCAATTGGGACTCAAATTCATCATTCAACCTCAGTTAGGAACCTTACATGGCGTCAGTAGGGTTCGGCTGTTTGATTATGGCTGCTGCCTAGATTAACTTTTGATTGCTTGTTTCCCATAAACAGAGGAGAAGTATCCTACCAATGATGCTATTGAAGAGCTTGCCGAATCCCTTGACCTTACAGTTGCCCAGGTCCGGGGATGGTTTGTTGAGAAAAGAAGGAGGGAGAAAAGTAAGAAACCACTAGCTGTAACCCCTATTCAGAGCAAGAAGCTCCCTACCGGCAAAGGAAGAAAGGTACTCAGAGAGGAGGGATCGTTGAGTCATGACAGGACTAAATCCAGCAGTAGTTTGTCTTCGGAAGTGGAGGACGGGATTATTGAGAGGTCATCGAAACTGACTCGTGTACAGCAGTTGCATTCTTCGGAATATATTATCAGCAAGGTTTTCCGTAAAGATGGGCCTGCCTTAGGTGTGGAATTCGACTCTGTTCCTTCCAGGGGATTCCATACTGTTAAAGGTAAACATCCCAGATAACATGTTACATTCTTTGTTCAACAAAGCGGAGAGGATCGTGAAAGCATGCTTGTGATCTTTCGTGTCTGCCCCTCTGCATTTATATGATATTGAATGGTGGAATACAGTAACTGAACTTTTGTGAACTCTTTACGTTTTTATTTTCTGTTAGATTTGAGGCTATGTAGCCACCAGTAGATTTATTGTTTGTTACTTCCTTGTCGTTTTGAAACAATATTGGCATTTTCTTTCCTATTCAGAATCCATAAACTATCTTTCTGCTTCCGAAGACAATGAAGCAACAGTCAAGAAGAGAAAGGTACTGCAAGTAAACCGAGGGGTGTTTCCACAAAAGTGTGCACTATTCAACTTTTCTTTGGCAATTACCTTCAATTCTCACTTCTCTTTTGTGGTTTCCCAGCATGTTGATGATTGTACATTGGGTGAACTTGTGAAGAAATATGGTGTGGGCAAAGGCTTAATGAGAAAGGTAAGGATAACTTCTTGTTGGCAGGATACTTTTGTGCCATACTGTTCATGCATAATTTGTATTATTCTCCTTGCCTTTTCATACTGTTTCAAAATTTCTCCTATTTGTGGTTTTTCAGAATGCCAAGGATTGTAAAATAGGAGTGCCCACTATGAAACATGGGATGGGCAAAGGCTTGATGAGAAAGGTACTGGAAATAAACATGTAGGCATGATGCTTATTGTACTATCTTTTACCCCAATCAAAGATTGTA